ACAGTACCACATCTAGTCTAGACGTTAGTGGGCACTGTGACTTTAATCAAAATTTTTCTTTTAAATTTGTTCTTTGGTGATACTTTAATGCATTAACCCTCTGGAAGAACAGTAATTTGTTACTGAAGAGGAAACCCAGTATAAAGAACAAATAAATAACATTATAATCAAGAGATGCATGAGAATAAGAATGCTACATTGGTAAGCCAACTGGGAATTGACTAAGGAGAAAATATTATCAAGAACTGTAAAAACAAACTGCTTGTTTGTTTCACTTTACCTGAACTAATAGGGGATGCTGTGGCTTCTCTCCATCTGTTTCCACTGGACTATTGCTGAGTATAGTTGTAATACACTTTTCAACTTCTAAATGTAAAAAGTTATTCCACAAATACTGAAAGAACAGATCCTATAAAAAAAAAATGTAATAATTACTGAGATGTATAGTAAAGGCTGTCATACAACAATATAAGCTGAATAGGAGCATACCATAATTAGCATGGATCATAGTGTGCATTGGTTTATTTCTTATGTTTGCTAAAGTCCAGGCACTAGCCTATGACATAATTCACTGGCATTTGACATGATTCAATGACAACAAAACACAACAGATTTTTAATGAAGATCCAGAAAATGTAGGTTGTGTGAGGGAGAAAAGTGCTCACATACTGTGGATGACAGACAAGTTTGCCAGCCAATAGTTTACCTATGTGTACCCTGGGCTTTATGTTATATATATTTATATTTATATATTATATATTTCTTTTTTTGAATGTTGTATACATATTGTTGATTTCTATCATCAATGCTGCTGTTGCTATCGTCAAAAGGAATCCCTACCAGCATACTCTCATTTACGATATAAGCAGGTTTTTATGTTCCAATCACAATTGCCAGATAATAAATAATGGAACATTTAACATTATCACAAGTTGGTTCTTTTTAAATACTATATAATATAAATTTATTACAATCAATGTTTATATAATGACCCAATTTTTTAATATCAAAACCTATACAACTTACTGTTACATAATACAATAAAAGAAAATGGACCTCACCAGTAGGACCTTCATTGTTCCCAACCTGCTTAGTTCACTGTTGATTGATGGTGAGTTTGTGATCAATAACGATGCTATAAGTTTGGAGACTTGCAGTCTAGAATTGCCAAATGGAGGATCTAACTCGCCCGTGGTTGTGGGCATAGGTGGATGCTGCAAAAAGTAATTGTTAAACCGTACTTTCAAAATTTTTATGCTAAATATCTATTATGAGCCTGCATCATTTTAGTCAGTAATTTTGAAGAACTAGCCAAATTGGGCTAGGATGTGGCAATATGCTACCTTCTTTGTATTCTAATATCAACAGACCTAATGTTGCCAAAGTCACAATGCAATTAATCCTCTAATCCTCAAAGAGTGAATAATCTAGTGAAGACAGGGAGTTTGTGATCAATAATGATGGTATTACATAAAAACTGTTGATCTTTAAAAATGCTCATTGGTCAATATCTAATTCATTTGGTTGAAACCTGACAAGTTTACAAATATGGCAGATGTCAAAAATGAAAGGTATAAAAAATAAAAAATTATGATGTAATACCTACCTTTGGTGGATCGACTAATATATCATGGATTTGGCACAGCTTTGGTAATAATCCCTTCAGAACACCACTAATTCCTTTGGCAAGTCGCTCAGCGTCTAGTTGAGTCATTTGCTCTTGCCCGTCCGGGCTGTAAAAGTCCACATAAGAAGGCCTACTACCATTAGTATCAAATGGACAATACAGGTAAAAGCTGTGTCCTCACTATCACATTTTTTGTGACAAATAACTATGAATGTGATACACCTATATTTAGATGTACGATGACATCATAATGCCCATGGGGACATTACAATACCCATGGGGACATCACTCCAACTTGTCACATGAAATTTGAAAGTGTGGACAAAGCTTAAATGATTAAAGTTCTGTTGACTAGTATTTGCTTGTGTAGTTGCATTTTGAGGAGTTTGGAACTTTTTACTTGGTTTAAGTTACAATTTACACTAGACACGGTAACGCCACAACGAGACGACAAAAATGCACTTAGTGTAAAGAGTATAAAACGACGCAATATGTTGTTGTTGTGTCGTTATCGTGTCTAGTGTAAATATAGCTTAAGTTACTGTATAATTTGAACTGAAGACTGGTTCCATAAAAATCGTTACAAAGTCGCAACAGCATTTTCACTGCACTCTTAGCACTCAGTGTCGCCAAAATTGTCTGCGATTGCGTTCAGCGATTTTTATGGACACCAGGCTTAAAATGGAAATACAAAATTTGCTATATTTTCTAAAAAAAGATCATTATTTATGATTTAAATAACATCTACTTATCATGTTTTAATATGTCGGAAGTGTTTCAAACTTCTTGTTCTTTCAAATCAGATTCTATAGACGTTCGACTTAGAAACCTACATATAGAAATGTACCGTTCAAAGTCCACAACATAAGTTTGTTTCATTACCTCTACTAAAAATTTGTGAAAGAAATTTTGGTCTTGGTTAAAAGATCATAAAACATCCTTCCTTAACATGGAAAATTTTGATTCTTTTGAACATTTTTGTTCTCCAGTGGTTATACTCTGTATATCCATATGATGCAATTTACTGTAAAACATACCCTGATTTTCTAAATTCCAAAAGAGCCAATAATATTGTGACACCATTCGTTAAAGCTGACTCGGATTTCTTCTCATGGAACATGTGCTCAAGAAGCTCAGCTACAGTTTCTTCCCTATAAAATACAAATGAAAATTATTTAAAAACAGTAGTCAAACCAACAATGTACTACAACCCAGTCTTTCTCCGAGGTACATGTATTTGTGTTGTGCTAAAGAGTAGCATTCTGACTGCATCCAAGAAATCCAAATCTTGAACTCAATACTTTTTGTGTGAAATACAATTGAAGCATATACTTTTTTGTTATCTTATTTTTTTACTAAATTGAATTTAACTGCAAGAAAAAATACATTACTTTTCTATTGTACTCAGTAAAGGATCCACCTCAGCACTTTCTTGTAATTGTGACATATGTTCCCTTGTGAGACGAATGATATCAACTATTGCCTGTGATGCGTTGCTATGTTTGTTGTCATCCTCTTCTGGATCAACTTGATCAACCAGACGTTGTATAAGCTTCTGATTGGTCAGCCACTAAAATAGGAAATTTTAGAATTTACTGAAATTTAATCCCTTTTACATTAACATTAAATATCATACATTATTTTTTATTGGTGAAAACATGTTTTATATGCCAGAATCATACGAGAACCAAGGTGGATGTAAGTTATGGTCATTGACATGGTTGTAGCTGTAGAAGGGTGGGTGGGTTATAGCATTGGTAGAAACTAAATAAGAGTGGATTTTAAGGATGGGCAAGGAGGCTAACATAGGTTGGTGGAAGGCCATGAAATTAGCTTTAGACTAGGTGAACAACTTCAAGGCTGGGTGGCCATAACTACTCTCTGGGTCAATTAGTTTACAGTATGATTAGTTTCCTTATTCCAAACTGAATCGCAACCAATGGTAAATTTTTCTTTTGTGGATTACAGTATAATATAGATAGTGTAAAAAACAGGCACAAATGAACAATTTCTATTTATTCAACATTATTCCTTATCACGACACCCAGCTTCTGATCAACATAAATTTGACATACTATTAAAGTAAAAACCTTAATCTGGTCAGGCTGTTTTTACATGAAGTCTGGACTTATTTTTTGATTTTATTTATTTTATTTTCACAATAATTATATACCTTTTTCACTTCAATAGATCGGGCTATGATTACGGAAAATACAGTGCCAGTGCATGTCAACAACAACCGCACACAGAGACCTGGATCGACGACAATGGCCTTGCATGCAACAAGCTTGCTTGTTTGATTTTGATCCATCATATTAATATAACAAAACAGTTTTATTACTATTAAAGTAAAAACCTTAATCTAGTCAGGCTGTTTTTACATGAAGTCTGGGACTTATTTTTGGCAGATTTTATTTAACAAATTTATCGTACTTAGTAACAGTATTATGTTATTGCATTGTTTTTGCAATTGTATACAAAGCTCTACTTGACTGAGTTTGGAATTGATCCAACAAAATGTCTGCCTTTTGTACTGTACTTTATTTCGTAGTAGCACTTTCTATTATTTCCTAATATAACTGCAAACATTTAAATGAGAAATCACAGAGGAACATTCAGGTACTGAATATTAGAAAGATCATTTACAACAAAAACCTATGTAGAATATGTGCAATTCATAATAGAATATTTTATAACCAAACCTAGAAACTTCCGATACCCTTAACTTTCAGCTTACAGAAAAAAAAATAATAAAGAAATATATACTTGTGCATTTCAAGGAGATTGTTACTATATATTTACAAAGCTCCTGCAGAACTGTAGTAATGGCTGGTTTTGTTTTTGGTATGCATTCACTGGCAAGGAATATTCATTATTTCTTTGTGCACTCATTTAGCCTTATTAACGAATGAGCAGTTGCCCAGTTGACAGATGAGGTGGTTACATTGGTACATGGTAAAATAATTATTGGGAGAGCCTCTAACCATGCTCTAACTCAATTTTCACCAACAAATTTTGCATGTCATTCAAGTGAAATAATGATAACTGCCATCCACAAGACTACCAGCATGTTTTAACTCCCTAAACTAAATCAATAATTTAGAACTTACTTCTAAAAAATCATTTCTAAGCTCTGGAACTTCTATGCATGTGACAAGTCTGAGTAGAAGGTCCATGATTGCGGATGTACCAAAATGCTTGAGAAAAATGCCGATACAATTCTCCTTGTTCTTGATATTGTCCACGACCATTTCAGGCCGCCTTGAAATAAGCATGGAGATAACTTTGCTAAAGAAACTTGCTAAAAGTGGATTCAGGGGTGATTCTTTATCAAGGAAACTCCATAGTTGATTTGACAGTGACTGAAATACAAAAACAAAAACAATGCTACAGTATTTAATTGGCAAAATATTAACATATAGATGTGCTATCATTGATAGTAATAAATACGATACATGGACCATTAGGCATGTACAGTATAATGTTAGTTGAGTAGTTAATTCAGTGGTATAAATGGCAGTGTCCTAACTATTTGTCTTCAAAACTCACCTTTACATCATCTTTACTTATGTCAGTTAATTCTTCATCTACAGCAATTTCTATTTGTAACAAGATGGTCTCAATCAATACTACTACTACAGTAATGCGCAATTCTCAGTCTAGAGAATTTCTTGGATGGAGTTCCTGATTTACTGTTTAAGCTTTTCCATTTTCAACTTCTGTTGAAAATGTAACATGTAGACCAAATTAGAGAGTGAAGTGGCATGGGTTCCTATCTTTACTTAAAGCTGTGAAAGCATCTTTTTACATTAACAACAGTCTCTACTGCGGGAAAGTACTCTTTGCCTACCCATCTGTGATATATTTTGAATTGGTGCTTTATAAATCTTTTTTGTTATTATTTCTATTGATCATGAAGATTTATATACGACACTGATTGAATTCTCCTGTAAAAAACATACTGGTATTCTAGTGATTCAGTTAAACAGAATACAGTTAATAGTTGACAATGATTTGAAAGTTTGGCCAAGTGTAACAGTACTGGCCAGTATTATTGCAAAAATCACAACGCATTTTACCCATTGTCGCTGCGTTGTGTTCGCGTTGAACTGCGCTGTGTTGAAATGAGCGTTGTTGAAAGTTCGTTATCTATTTAACGAAGGCATTCATGTCACTTTACTGTTGATAATTAATTCAACACCCTAGCCTATCTAGCGACGGTGTTACAATGATTATCAATAAACAACATTGATTTATTTTGGAGACCGAAATATTGGTAAATATTATAGTAGGAATCTTCCAACATTTATTATTGTATTGTGTTCTTCTGATGCACTCGCCAGGCCTAGGCTATAGATTGGTTATGACTTGGCCTAGTTTACAACGTTTAACCATGCCAAATATAGCCTAGGCCTATTATTATTACTCTATGCAGCATAGCTGAGGCACCGTAGGCACATTCTGCAGCAGCAGGTTCTGATTTGCAGCATTAATAATTTCAATTTCGTATGAACTATTCACAATAATTATATACCTTTTTCACTTCAATAGATCGACCTATGATTACGAAAAATACAGTGCCAGTGCATGTCAACAACAACCGCACACAAAGACCTGGATCGACGACAACGATCTTGCATGCAACAAGCTTGCTTGTTTGAATTTTGATCCATCGTATTAATATAACAAAACAGTTTTATTTACGTTTCAACCATGTGGACAATATTATCATTAGTATGAATATCTATACAATACAATATTAATATTTAACTACAGTAGAATTGCTGATTGACTTGTTAGTGTTAGCCTGCACTCATTTTCAAGCATAGCAGTACACTGAGCCACTGGGTGGTAGTGAGAGTAAGCGATGCAACTCTTTCAGCACAAAACACTCTATGCACTTAGAACTGTGTTCTGCATGCGACCGCATCACGGTCGTACAATGGACTTGTATCGGCCCACCACGAGCGACTAAAAAATAGTGGGCTATAAAAATATACATCCGTACCTAATCTTTAATTAGTTAATGATGACAAATGGTTTACTATTATGATGACAAACTTTTGGGTTATGGCTTTACAAAAAATATCATTAGTGGAGAAATAAAACATACAAAACGTGTGACGAAATAAATTCAGTACTGTATGGAAGATGAAGCACCAGGTCACCTATATTTCAAAGTTGCGGAATGAAGAGTACTGTGCGTATGAAAGTTTTTGAAAGAATGAGAAAATTGAATCGTAGTAAAAAAAACAATGAATGGTATTATTTCTTAGTAGTATACTGTAAATAATGAAATTGTCAAATACTTCATTGAATATGGAGTTTTAATTATGAAAATATATTAATTATTTTTAATGATACATACACTGATATTTGATTTGTTTAAATTAATTGACATAACTTAATTATTTCGACTGTATGTTATAATACGTAATGTTTATTTTCTTTAACTGTATGTTGAGTTGATTTTTAAATAAATGATTAAAATGAATGAAATGAATTATTATCCATTCATTTCACTTTATTGAAAAATACACATAAAATGGGTTGCAAGTTGTGCCCAACACCAAACAAATTGTATATGAGAGCCTAATATCATTTAAAAAGGATTAAAATAGCCATTAAATATATAAAAATATAAATCCAACCAATATTATAATAAATGTATATATATCTGTGAAAGTAAAAAGTTGACATACGAAATGTCATCTGCACTCAAGTAAACTGATACCGTCAAAATGCCAATGACCTGAATGGAGAACCTCCAACGTTTTTTTTTGCTGTCTCAGCTGACTTCGTATAGCAGATCACTAGGTGATGGGTATTTTTATCTTTCTCCTGATTCTGTGTACACTGCAATACATAGTCCTAGCCTAGACCTGTATGCCTTCGCACGGCTGTTATTCGTGAATATTATAATGTTTAATCCCCTAAAATAATTAAATAAATGTGTACTTGGCCTATAGGCATTTGTAAACTGAAGATTAGGTTATATTGTAAACACAACGGGAAAATAACAAGGCCTAGGAACGGGGCGCAATAAGGTAAAATTAATAAGAAGACAAGGTCTAGCGGGATAATATGCTATGCGGCACTAAACCTAAAACTAGGCCTAGATGTATTAGTAGATTTATTTGAGGAGATATATTGGTGAGTCACTTTGGTTTTTTTTTCTTTTTCTTTCTGTTTTTTCTTTTATTATTTTGTAGAGTATCCAGACTCCAATCCAACTACCGACCGTAACAAATCTTATTTCTTTACTATTATGTAAGTTCGTAATAAACAAACGGCTATTTTGTTAGCACCCGTTTATTTATAAACTGTTAATACAACACTTTGCGTTGAATTCTGAATAAACAATTCCTGAGCTTTCAACAAAGCGAACATGTTCAACAACAACACCCAACAAGTTGTCAACAAAAAAGCAACGGGTTGAATGCATTTGATTTTTGCAATACTGGCCAGTACTGTAGCACAAGGTAAATTTACCAGTACAGTAGGTATGACTCACACAGCTATCAGTAGACTACTTACTTCCTCCTGTTACTAAAACAAGCTTCAATCATCTCTAAAACATAAAAATCTATACTCAGCTTAAAAAATTTTCTACTTTGTGCTAAACTGTAAAAACCAGCCAAAAAATGCTGCAACAGACCTGAAGTCAAACCTGTCTGTGTATATCTTACGACCAATGGGAAATGGTAATAAAACAAAATTTAAGGTCAATCAAAGATCAAATTGCCCACATATGTATATTTAGACAATGCTGTCAAAAAATGCATCACTTTCATTACTTTTATTTCAATTACCTGTACAGTAATCTGCTGTAGAGATCAAGTTCATGATCTGTGATTCAGTGGAAACTACTATTTGTCTTAGCCACTAGACCGTGAAATGACATACTTCATATTTTTATTAAAAAAAAGTAGATATGATTGTCAAAACCCAACTTCTTATTAAATGTGCATTCCTGTTTAAGCTTAATTTTAACTTATAGTAGGCCTATTTTCGACAGTGAATCTACAATTATTTGAGCTCAAAATGACGAATACAATTCAATTTTTGACAATTTTAATGCACTTAGGGACAAATCAGCGACCCTGAATTATGAGTAGCCACATGACGTTTAGTTAGTTGGTATAACATGCAATGTGATCTGTATAAAAGAGGCAAAGGAAATGTTGTGGTTTTAAAATGCAACAATAAAAACATACTGTAATAAATGGCAAGGAAATGTAGTACAACTGTCCTTAGTCTTATTTTATTCTTCTGTAAAAATTGATGTACTGTAGTCCTTTGTGAACAGACTAACACCAAAATGAAAAATATCTGATTTTTAGGGTGGGATAAAGTACACGAATGTGGACTGAAGTGATATCAATTATTATTAAGTGCTGCATTATCAATAGGAAATATTTTAAAAAATGATTCATAGTAATCATAAGCTGATACTTTAAAATAGTTGTCACGTCAATTAAATAACTACATTTCCACTAAAAACTCACCTCTGTATCTGCCAATTTATCTACTATTTGATATACATCGGATGATAAAAGCTCACAGGCCATATTTGGATGTTTGTACCGGAGTTTCTCCTCAACATTTTCTTCTGGTTCTTCAGTAACCATAGATAACATCTCCTGCATAATGTCTGTCCTAGTGAGACTAGTTTCATACAAAAAAATGTTTATTTAGATACAAAACAAGATAAAACATTTACGAAATTAGGAAAAATAAAATATAAATCAAAATGGAAACATTGTACAACAAGCATGTTTTAGGGTAAGGTAAGCATCAAAAGGTATACCAAGTGAACAAAATATAATAAAAACATAATTGTTCACATCAAATTGGTTATCACGGTCTTGAAGCTTATCTAAATAAATCTCAATAGTAATAATATAAAGTTTAAAATTAAATCTAATTATGATTTTTTTTTAAGTTCATCTACATTAAAGAAACTAAAATGGCATATGTATGAAGACAATATGCATATATTTAATTTCATTTTATGGACAAGAGCTCTGCAAGGTTTGTTTATGAAATCATGTAACATATAGCTACAACTTTAATAATCTAAATTGGGAAGGGGTAAAACAGTATCAAAATATTAAAGAACCAGGTTTTTCAGAATAGCCCAATAAAGCAAGATAATACTGTATTTTGCAGTCAATGGTCAATATAATTTCAAAATACGGTACCATACATATTTGTGTATTAACTGCAATTTGATTTGATACCTAAAATACAATTGTGTTGCCAACCCCTTTTTACAAAATTCCTGCTGAAGGCGCATCCTATTTCCTGTGAGTCAACTAATTGCTTTTGAAGACTCCATTCAATAAAATACAGCTGAATACTTAGTAATTTATGTATCGATAAATGGAAAATACTATTGGAGCTTAGAAACCAACGCAAGGATGTGTTTTACCTCGATAACAACAATATTTATGACGGCAGGTGCTGTATGGTAATGAACAAGGTACAATTAATAAATATGTAAAACAGGGTCTTGACAATTTAAATAAAGAGTTAAATGATTAAAACTATTTAAAATCTTCATCCTATCAAGTCGTTTACAAATATTTTATACAAAAAATTAATTATATAGTAATTTAACTCGTATTCGGTAGAATTTGTGATTATTAGTATGACTTTAGATTTAAAAACTTATATGCCAGAACCGATTGCCAAAAGTTTTCATGTTTTAATTATGTTCCATATATTTGGAACAATTTACCACTGCTGTCAGAGACTTAATTATTAATAACTATAATTTTAAGTACCATCTTCGTAACCATTTATTTAATAAATAACTTGTTTTTTTTTTTGGCTTCCCAAAACTGCATTTTTAAAATTTTATTGTTATTTTGTACACTACTTTATTTTTGTCTATATTTAAGCTTTCTATTTTTATGTGCGTTTGTTGTCTTGTTTATGTTTGGAGAACCTCTCGATAGTAATTAAGTACTTTAGGTTATCCTCAGGCTGTTTCTTTGTTTATAGTATTCTATATTTCCTGAAAATAATAAATGAAATGAAATGAAAGTAAAGAAAAACCTGACAACAATTTTATCTAACACTTAGCAAAAAAAGCTGAAAATTCTATTAATCCAAAGAAAGTCAACAAAAGCAGCAAGCTACTCACAATTCAATGAGTTTTCTATTTTGTGCTTTGCATTCTTGTAATACATCATCTTCATCCAATAGTTCAGCTAGGGTCACATGCTATAGGAAACCAAATATGATTCATCCGGTTAAATTTGTCAAAATGGATACGCTTAATGAGTCAGTTTAACAATCCACTATGGGGATACTAAGCTTAAAACTAGGTGTTCGTGTCACCCATTCACAATCTGTTAAATTTCGTTTAGTTTTAATTACATTATAAAATAAATATTACAAGATATGTACAGTAGTCCATATTATTTTCATGAAAAATTGGTTTTAGGATCGAACAGGAAATGGTAACAAAAGCATGCCGATGTTCTGTAGAAAGAAAATTTAAGGATACTTAAACATTGACTCATGCCTTTTTCTGATGCATTGCAGCAATACTGCAGTAAACATGATGGCATGGTTGCCATACTGTACATCCTATAACCTTTCATATACAGCGCCTTTGTTACCGCAATATTGCCGCAATCAGATGCCTTTCTGTCTGAAAGGGTCAACAGATTGGCATATTATTGGATGTTTAACACAACACTAAACCAGCTTGTATAGTGCCGTCAATCCGGGCATTAATTTCCTGGTCCCCATGAATTAAAACAATTTTTCTCACCACAGTCCTGACAACAAAGACGAATGGTAGTGGAAAGAGTGAAAAATTAAAGAACTCGCGCATAATCGCTTACAACTTTAACCAAGTTTATTGGTTATGCTTCAATGCGCAGGCCAGCTTACCCTTTCAAACAGAGCAAGGCTATAACCATTACCGCAATATTGCAGCAATATTACTAGGGTGCTTGGTGGTCTAAGTATGCTGGTGTGCTTACTGCAACATTGTAGTTCTGTCTGAAAGGGGCTTTAGTGCTAATTACTATTCCAGTTGCCAACATTGAATTACTGTACACTTTGAACTACGGCACAATTCAGTTCATGTACAATGTTGGAGACTATAGCGTTCTATTAAAAAAGTACATAGCAAAGCTACCCACAGGCTGTGTTAAGTTGTGGTCATGTATAATAGTCCCATTGAAAAATTTTAAATAGTGAAATTGACGGCTAAACCGGCTTCAAGAGAACACTGTATAGGGCCTACCTACAGTATGACATGAGAAAATGAATAGTAACTGTCTGTTTTTAAAGCATTTTTATCAACAATAACATCATTTAGCAAAGCCCTTAAGAAAGTATAATACATACTCCAAGTATTGAAATACACGCCATCGTGTTGGGATTCAATATTTCGACATTAATTATGTCATCATCAGGAATGATGACATAATTAATGTCATCATTAATCACTGGAACTGTTAAAAGTCGGCAGCACTCAGCAGCAGATTTAGGGAGTAGGAAGTCTCGTGACAACAGATTTTTTTTTTTTTTTTTAAACATTTTTCTAATTAACAAAGTACTTGTAAAAGTTCTGTAAATTATAAGATTTTTAGATACATTAACAGAATTTATGGTGCTTTCAAATGACAAAAACAGACATACACATTAGTGAAAACAAATGCTGTCGGTAACAATTCACTGATTTGTTTTTCTACTGTAAATACATTTTAAAATCTATAGCAACTGTCCTAAATTGCCAAGTGAAATGTACAGTATCACAGACTTTTATGTCCAAGGCAAAACTGCTATCATATGGTAAATTTGATATAGTATCAATACATTGCACGGTTCTATGTGATCCCTTAATAAAGGCAAGATCTATTTCCACTAACCTCCTTCTCTAAAAGAGTATCCACATGGGATGTACTGTGTACTTCAAATTTCCAAAACATGTCCACTTCGATCACATGCTGTGAAGTAAAGAAAAACATACATGATTATTAAAACATATTTACCCTTCTGTCATGCTTTCTTAACTATTAATCAATACCATGATCTCATATATCAGGGGTATTGCTAAACCCCTTAAACCTCTAAACCCCCCCCCCCCCCTCCGCAAACCCCATCCAAACCCTGTGATAATTATTGAATCACATACTGTAGTATAGGTCTCAATTTGGTATCTCAATTAAAAAAAAATCATAATTTTATGTTCGTCACAATCTATTTTTGGGGTAAAATCTTGTTAAAAAAATGGGTCCACATTATTTGAATTTACATGTAAAGTGGATCCACCCTGATATTGTCCCGCACTGTTTGAAAATCCTGGCTACGGCATTGAGTGCAGTTGTTTTTGTCGTAAGAAAAAGACCTGCAGTGATAGGAATTGAACCAATCATAGGATAGGGAGCCCATCTTTTATAAAAGGATGCATCATTAAAAAAAAAAAAAAAAATTACGACACCCAAATCCAAATTAAACGTCTACTGAAACAGAGCCAGTCGTAAAAACTTGCTTAGAGTTCCGTCTTCATTTCTGGTTGATTGCAATGCACTTTATAAACAATGGAAGGCGTAACCTTCAATTTACATAACATTTACGTTTAGGTTACTGGTGTGTAGTTTTAATGAATAGATAATCTCTATGGCAGCGATGGGACTGAGCTAGCTATACGACAGTTCATTCACAGGGTGTTGTGCTAGGTCTAGTTGTTGATTGACAGACAGTTATTATTGCGTTATTTCGTCTGGAAATTTTGTTTATTAACTGTTTGTTGGGTTTATATTTGATTTCTATGTTCCAGACCGATTAAATTGTCCGGAATTCAGAATAGGGAGGGTTTTCGGAAAGTATTTTATTAAAGGAAGAATAGGAATGGTTTTGGGATTTGAAAAAACTTTAGCGTGAAATTCCGGGTTTTCTGGTCATTCGGAATTCCGAGGTTCCACTGTATTTTTTTGTTGTTATAATTAGTTGTGAATTTGAATATCAGTACGTAGGCTAGGCTTTGCAGCTTGATTGGGTGACTTGAAAAGACATCCATCACTGCTATAACAGGTCAGCATGGGTTGATTTCATGGCTGTAGCAGAAACTAAAAACTGCTGACTTTATAATCGGCGTAAATTTTATAGCGTCGGCGATTTTCACTTTTTTTTCGACATACTTTTTTCCTAATTTTGAGGGCTGCTTAACCGCTCAGCCATTTGGCTCGCTGAAATTGTATTCTAATACGATGTTTTTTTAATAATATAAAATGGAAAATGGATTTGAATATAAATTTGATGGTTACAGTACATTGCATACTAATTTAATTACTTATTGTTGTCTTATTTAAAATTATTTGGTTTTGGAAGTTGATTTTGACATTACAAATCTTACATGAAGCCATATCCAGGAGCTTCCTGCCTATCAAATAACTATATACAAATTCACCAAAATCTGTGGCTTCGCACCCAGGACACCCAACAGGGCCCTAGGCGGCCCCTGGTCCCCCATTCAAGTAAGGCTCGCTTCGCTCGCCTAGGCCCCCCATCCCCAGATCCTGGCACCATCCTGACCATGACATGCAATTTTGTGGGGCATATGACAGAATAAAAATTATATTTTAAAACCATAAGCAAACACAACACTTTACTGTATGAAATCTTCATACACTACCTTAATAAATATCTGAATTTTTTTGTAGACGTTCATTTGGATTTGGATGTCATTTGATTCGTCAGTGTAAGTTACAAATGCATACCTTCACTTATTCTTTAAACAAGACACTTTTGAGAAACATGTTGCTAATTTAATTAGAGGAAATTTGTAGAGAATAAAATTTAAATTTGTTAAATTTATTTAGATTTAATTTATAAATATTAATTTATTCTATCACTGCAAGCTGTCACGCAATGAAACTTTGGGCGATCTGACGTCATCACAGCCAAGCACATGACCCCACGAAAAAAATAAACCAATTAGCTGGCAGAGTTTAGGAGGCGCGACCTCATGCCTGATGTTTACAATAACCAACCGACTAGCAAGTGGCATTGTGACTACGAAGAATGTGTTGGGTTTAGGGTTAATATCAGACCGAAAATGCACGTAAAAACAATATAAAAAGCATTCGTTTTATTGGTAATTAAATTTGCTGTACAGTACACAAAACAACAGGTACTGTACACTGTATGTATGTTAACTTTTCGTAGGCTAGGCCTAGCCATACCGAACCGACGGGACACTTTCTAGCTAGGCCTATGCCTACTTCACCAGCTACAGTAGGATGTAGCCTATCTGGCCTACGTCAACAAGCTTGTTCGGAAAGGGTTCAATAGATATGTTTACACTAACCAAACTTTCCGAAAATCCGAACATCGTAACCGGTCCCGAGGTGGGGAGTCGGTATTGGGAGAGTGCACTTTATTATTTCTCTACATGTAAATATTGGAAGTTAAAGTTGATGTCTTGTTGACTCCTGTTAATTGCCCTGTATAGCGATTGAACGTTAATCTGCTGTATTTCTTTAATCTCCCCGCGCCATCCCGCAAAATAATCAATCGCCTAAAAATTATGGTGAGTGTTTTTTTGCTCGCCTGCCATTTTCAAATGACAAGGCCTGATACCGATCAATAGTATACTGTATTGCATTATAATGTATGTGCTGTGCGAAAATCCCATGAAATTACAAAAATGTGGTTTCTGATGACGCCATACAGTACCTGTATTCTCCACTGAGTAGGTCACCACTCGTATCCTACTGTATTGTCTACAACAGACTGTAGTTGACTACTGTAGGAGTACTGTACAGCAGTTGTTGACACTACAACTCATTACTGCTACTAAAGCATGTGGGAAATCCCCAATATCTTTTGTTTCATACAATATTGATACGTACAGGAAATATCTTTATAAATTATAGGGACATGTTTCCAGTTGCTTTAAGTACTTGCTGTACCACTGAAGCCTGATAAAAGGGTCCTATTTCATAATATTTATTAATTATGAATTTAAAATACTTGGCCCAGATTTTTCAAACTTACTTTACAGGAAAAAAAAAAAAAACAAACAAAAACCAAAACAGTAAATATGAGATTTAGGTATATACTGTACTGTAAGTAAGTAGGTCAGTGGTTTGAAACTCTCACTTTCTGTGGAAGTCACTTGTGTCCTTTTATCTATGTTTGTCTCGCTCTACTCACGAGTATAAATGGGTACCTGGTAGGATGTTGTGGCATTGAAATGTACTAGTTTTGTGCACAAAGCAAGTAGCGCACGACTAGGTATACTCCCCAGGGAGCAGAGAAAGTTACACTTTGTGCTGGTTTACCATTGTATTTTATCCAGTGACCTTTGAACATAATTTGGAAATGGCACTATATAAATATTTAAGCATTATTATTATTAAATTGCTTATAACAAAAAACCAAGAGACAAGCAAACATTGCAGTAGTTATCTATTCAGATTTTGGAAACTGTTTTTGTGAAAAACCTTGCACCTCAATTTTGCAGGATCAGATCAGAAGAAAATACTGTAATACCAATTGATGCTAAAATAAACTGCATTAAAATTAGTCAAAAAGTAGTAAAATAAAAATGACTATTTTCGTGCTTAACAAATGGCAGGCCTAGACCTATACTGCTTAGGATACAGTACCGCCACAAAATATTGCACTTTTACCTGCACGCAGGCTTCGTAGATACATCGTAGCCTGATATAAACAATCTAACCTGCGCGCAGGCTTCGTAGATACATCGTAATCTGATGGATATAAACAATCTAAGCAAGGCTACGCGAAGCGAACCTACGAAGCAAAAGCATGTTGTTTATTTGTATGTGCAGAAAGACTGCTGTAGCTTACTGGAATAAACAATGCATTGTTTGATAATTTGTGAATGACAAACACAAGTTTAAACCATTAATTTAAAGTATGGAGCTGTTTTTCAATAAGAAAAATGCACACTTGACTTCATGGGAGTCTCCTCTTCCACTCGCTGTCCACGACAGGAACTTGTTTGTACTGCTGTATTATTTTTTTTAAAATTAATTAGCCTAGGCCTAGCTTATTTTTTATTTACAATTATTTTACGAGCCGGTCCAGTCACCTTCACTGCACTACGCACCGTAGCCTGAAAAAGCCTAACTTACCCCGCGACGTAAAATCCATAAATCAATTATTCGCCTAGCGCCCATACAAAGACGTGGGAAAACGCACCAACAATCTTTCAAAAATCCAGTTGGTATAAAAAAAAAATTATAAAAAATTACGATAATATAGGCGATCAAGGTGTTATTTTCGAGCTTTTAACATGATGGATCTCAACGTCATGATTGCGCATGTCACAGGGAAACCAAAAAAGTTCGAAAGTTCAACGGTCATGTCAGGGTTCGTTTTCATTTTTGTAAACAACCAAGATGGCGCTGACGAAGTTGATAGCCACGTTTTTTTTTTCAGCCACATAAAAAAAATTAATTTTACGTGGAAATATGAGGATACATGTAATAACCAAAACTGGTACAGTATGTATATTGAATATATATTTATATTATAGGAAAGTGTCAGATTTGTTACTTTTTGAAAAAAAGTGTATTTTTAGACGATTTTATTCATCAGTGTTGACGGCGGCGCCTTCCCGTTCAAGGGTATCATATTACAAAAATAACGATCATATTTCATATTTTTAATTACTTTAATCATTCAAGTTAATTAAAAAAGCACCAAGAAACATTTTTTTATAAAAATTTTTGATATTTTCTCGAATATTTAATGAAAATACATGCACACATTACTGCACATACGTTTTAAAAAAAATTATTGTTAATTAATTAATCAAATACTGACGATAATTAGAGAGCGCTTAAAGCGCTTATGGGCATGAATGGGTTAAAGGCATAGAGCTATTGAACAACTAGTGCTGACAAGATGGCGCACCAATGCATAGTTATGTATGTGTACCATCCAAGATGGCCGTCGTAGTAAAGCGCCACCTTCAGGCTTAGTATACATATTATTACACATATTATTACATATTAATAAGCCATCTGACTGACTATTATTTTATTAATGATAATGAGTAATGGTAATAACAAATTATTAAACTATTGTAGCCAAAACGAAGCCAAGTGGAGCATCTTAATCAAAAATAAAAGTACCAAGGAATGAAAACTAAAATCGTGTACATTACACCAAAACACCGCAACGATCGAGTTTCAAACATATGGGTAACTAGCTGTACTGAACTTTCTGAGTAAATTGAGGGCGCAATTGCAAATGATGGTGCTTAGCGAAATTTGATTGGCTAAATCTATGGCAGCCATCTTGGATGGTACACACAGTTCTGCGTATTTCGAACATCGAATACATTGCAGTTAGCGCTCTAGTATTCTTATTATATCTCTATGTTTAAAGGTTAACCTCTTGGCAAATGTTGAAAAGCTGTGAGCAACAGTGAGTAAAAAACGGAGTAAATGCGGTCTAGCATGACTAGCCTTAATTCGGCAAGGTAGTGATTTCTATAGTTCCATTTAGTATTGGATCGCTTTCAGGTTGTTCTGCTTCAAATTATGGTAAACAATAAACAACGTGATCTGTAGAAATCGTAATAATTTGTACATGATTTGTCATCAGTATTATTTAAAAGAAGAAAATTGCTACTACCAGAACAATAATATCAGATCAAAATTCTCTGAATTGGAAAGTTTACCAGTATAACTACTGTCTGCTCGCCTCCTCTATAGGGGAAAATGTAGGCCGTACGTAAGCCTAAATGACATCGAAATTCGAACATACTGAATGCCCACTAGGTTACCCAGCTAGCGAACTAAACACAGTTTTAAAACATGATCGATTTAATAATAAGGTAAGATATAAAAAAGCAATAAAGATCTAACATTGTTTATTAGTAAATTGCTGCTTACGTGTTGAAAGCTGGTAAACTATATTTCAATATTGTTTACGCATTGTTTATCAGCCCGACGATCCAGCCTACGATCATTGCAAAGCTAATTAAAATAACAATGACCTTCGTAGTGGTTCGTAGCTACGTTCAAAACGTACCTACGAGCAGATTACGAGAGGTTATGCGCAGATACGAAGCGATAATTTGTGTCTGTACTGTATCTTACTATATATTCGCGGTCGCGCCTTCGGCGCTCCATACACCGCGATCGAAATGCATAACCAAAATAGCGCAACCGAAATGCAGGCCCGACCGAAATGATCGGATACCTCCTCACTCACCCTCAGCTCAGCCAGCCAGATAAAATATGAATTTAATGCATCATAACATAGCCTAGGCCCTAGGCCTACTCTTGTCCATCATGGACTGAATTGTACTAGCCTATGGCCTAGGCCTTTTTTTAGACTAAATAGGTTAGGTCCTAGGCCCCTAGCCTAACCTACCTAGGGCCAGCCTAGCTTATCTACTAGGCCTAGGCTAGGCGGCTAGGTAGGGCCTACCACCACCGTTCATTGACCAGGTAACAGAGTTAACTTGATCGAACTGTTTCTTTAAAGACAATCATCACATAAATTTATTCTATCAACAGTTGACACTTACAATGAGTAAATTCGAGTGTAGATATGTTTCCAGGTATACAAAACTAACTTCGACCGCTTTTACGTTGCTCTTTTGAGCGTGTGTCGCAACGCACTTCAAAATTACACACCCCTCAAATGAGGTAGCTAGGCCTCTAGGCTAATTCCGTTTCAAAGGCCGATTACTGATTATTAGACGGTTAATACATAATAACGTAAGTATATCCCAATTCTTCAAATATACTTCTTGAATCTTGCCTTCACATAAACCTGTCTCTTATACACATCTAGATGTGTATAAGAGACAGATTGAACAACTAGAGTGCTGACAAGATGGCGGAGCAATGCAGAGTTGTGTATGTGTACCATCCAAGATGGCTGCGTAGGAAAGCGCCACCTTCAGGCTTAGTATACATATTATTACCATAAATAAGCCCTCTGACTGAATATTATTTCATTAATGATAATTAGTATTGATAATGACAAATTATTAAACTGT